CACCAAATCATTCACTCTTAAACCAAGAATCTCATGACCTGCCTTTCTCCAGGTAACGAGCTCCTTCACCCACACTATTCCAGCCCCCTGCCCTCTCCCTGCTTCTTCATGAAGCTGTTCCCTAAGTGTTACCCAAAGCCGACTCTAACATAATAGCTGTTACTGGAAGAAGCCCCCAGTATTTTAGTCTGTGGTTTCTACTTCCAGCTACAAATTAATGTACTCAGGCACAAAGGCACACAATGACAAAGCACGTTCCTGCCCATTAACAGTGTATGGAAAATACCAGCCTTTCCTGCCAAAGAGATTCTGCTGTACTGCTCTTCATTCACTTCCATGATTAAGGTTTCTTTCCTTTAAGAATCTTTCTAGTCTCCTTTCTTGAAACTGAGTATCTCTCGGGGTCATTGCAGGGCATAATTTCATTTTAATTGCAAGTTGAACATCAATACTCAGCTCATATTTCAGCAGCTCTGTTTATCTCAGCTTCTTCCAAAGCGAATGATAATACATTGCTGTGCAATGAGCTCACATGTTCAGAGTTGAAGATTTCATCGAGACGCGTCCCTTAAAGTTCTCTTTCATTTTTGCCTCTCCAGAGCTTTCTGCCCTCTGCTGAATGGCACAGGGGGAAGCCAGCTCAGAGCACAGCCAAGCTCCGAATGGTTCTCTCTCATAACGTATTTCTCAGTATGAGATTAAAAGCTTCCTTCTCCCTGCTTCCCTCAAGGGAAAAGAAAGTAAGTCACTTCTGTGGAAATCCCTGTGAGTATATAGCCGGCAATGACACTCTAAGCACTAACCTGGGTTGTCGGGTTCAGGGTAAAAGAGATAGAAATTTAAAGAATAATTTACGATGCCAGGATAAACCAGGTGGATTTCACAGAAACCAGGTGCCCTGGCATTAAAAAAAGAAAAAGAAACACCCAACAACAAAAAAAATAATCAGCTGAAGGCTAGCCGGAGCCATTTGAACTAGATACCAGTACCCAGACCTGCATCAGGTAAGCACTCTAATCTCAAGCAAGTTCCCAGCTATTTGACTCCCACCTCTTCTGGCCAGCTTGGCTAAAGCTGCAGGCAAAAGGGAGAATGAAAAAAAGATGTGCTGCCTCTCATCTGCTGCCCAGCCTTTGCAGTGCAGAGGCATTGCCACTGAAGCAACACCTCCAGGTTACCAGAAGACAAGTGAAAGATTTCAGGTTGGGTGGGTAGGATCCACAAGTCTCACAGGAAGCTATTTTGATAACACTGGCTTCAGAAGGAGAACAGCAAGGAACAAAAGACAGATGTGTGCCAGGCTGAAAGAAATGCTATATACACATACACCATCCAGTAGCTCAGGAGGAGAGAGGATGGAATTTGAGTTTCAGCAAAAATGATGCAATGAAATTAAGAGAAAGCTTCAAGACTAGCACTGGCAGCTGCTCTTTTCCCTTGCATTGCTGGGAAACCTTTGAAAAAGATGGCAGAACTTCTGTTCTAGACTGAGAAAACCAAAAAGAAGCACTGAAGAATATTAGTCTTCATACAGAACAGCTTCCTTCTGCCCCCCCAAATAAGTTTCCTTACAGCTACTGGACATACAGCAGGCGTTCATTTTATGACATTAGTCTAGTGATCCATGTTATTCATAAGGCCAGACCAGAGGATTCACAAGATCCTCTCTGGTCTTAAAATACATCCAGCACAGAACAATCTGCCATTGATTGAATATTTGAAAACTAATGACCTACACTGGGCTTCTCACCATCACCCTCACCCCCTACTTCCAGTTTATATATTCCACAAAATCCACATTTCATTTTTTAGTTCAGGAAGTTTCAAACAAATGCCTTTACATTAACATTTCAGATCATTAACCAAATGGAATAAATACGTCCCTCTGCAACAGCAAGTGGAGAAAGAAAAGAGGTCTCTGCTTGCAGCCAGCAAGTTCTGCCTTCAATGGAAAGAATCCGAGCAAGACATTTTCCACAGATGTTCATGGAAAAACATTTCAGAGCACTGCCACATTTCAAGCCTATTGTGGCAGGAAACACTGAAGTTTCATGTGCACAGTCCCCAGCTCATATATAAGGAGCATACAGGCCTCCTGCCATTCAGACAGATCACATTGCACAATGTGTATGCACACTAAAAACCCATTCTTGAAACATCCCTCAACTCAGAGAGATCTGGGAGGATGTCAAACTGGAGGGAAGAATTTCCAATCCTAGCAAGTCTCCCCACCTCCTATCAAAGGGGAATCAATAAAAACAACTGAGAAAAATTCCTCCTACCACTAAAAGCTTCATGTAAAACCCTTTAAGGGCTTCCTTCTGCTGAAAAGGCTGCTTCCGTATTGATCACCTCCCCACCTCACCCCTCATAGTGCAAGCTGAAAAATGCTGTCAAAGTCCAAGCCTTCAAAGTAGGGAGGAGACTGGAATACCTTCTATTTTTTAAAATTATACTGCCTTATTATAACCCCTCCAACAGTCACAGTTAAAATGTCCTTCTGTTACACTTTGAGAACCCCAGAAGTTAGTGCAATTGACTCATTAACAGCTTTACTATCAGCGACAAACACGCTCATAAGCTACTCATCGCACCCCACCCTCCCTTTAACTCAGGATTTAGCAGAGGGGTGCTTCCCAGCTTTTACAGTTGTCTTGAGAGCTGCATGCACGTTTTTTCTGACGCTTTACTGTTAGTACCTTCCCTCCAATTTTGGGGAGCCTCTCATTCTCCCTAGATACCACTAGCTACCTCAGCAGTTCTGCCTTTCACCATTCCCACTAGGGAAAATCTGGCACCAACTTCTTTTTCTGAAGAACAAGTTTGACAGCTGCCTGTACCACAGGATGCAAGACAAGGGTGTGATATCTGAGCTGTGCTTTTATAGCTGCTCCACAACTTTGCCATTACCCCTAGCTCCCTGACTCAGTCACAGTTTGCATCAAAGACAAAGAAAACCAAAGTAACACACCCACAAAACATCTTCTGTCTTCCAAATAATAATTCCACAGTTAGTCCATTCTAACTCTGCTCATCATGTGTCATCATGCCCAGAGATGAATGTCCAGCAAGGATATCCAAGGAACAACTGAAGGACACGAAGTTCATCCATCAGTTGAAGAAAGGAAGGTATTTCAAGCCAGATTTTAGTACATGCCAAGATTATTTTGGGAAACAGCTCTCTCGTAAATTGTGCCTGGGATCTCATTTCTCTCTTCGTTCTTTTGTAAAGAATGAAAGGCTGACAGGGCTTCAGGACCATCCTTCCCCCTGCTCCAGCCCTGCTACTGGAATTCACACGTTCCCAGGGCAGTGCTACAGGCTGCCTCCCTTTCTTCGCTCCATGCGCCAGAAATCCGATCTGGGTGAAGAGGCTGGGAGTAGAGAGTGACAGCAAAAAGTCAAGACTGCAACGTGCACACTTCCCTCCCTTGCATAGCTTGCAGGTTTCCCTCTGAACCATGGATATGAATAGCATCCTGCCAAACTTTTTGAATGGGAGTTCAAAGTGACATAACGCAAGCAATGTTGGGAGGGGTCACCAACCTCCTCTGCTCTGCAGGAAAGCCTCCACGTAAGAGCTTGGAGGGGTGGGGGCTTGAGATAGATTTCGTTCTTGCTGGTTTCTTGCATCACCCCTTTGCAAATGCTGCTCTCCCACTCTCTCTGACCCAGATATCAAGAGTAATAAGGCTAAAACTATAGCCCATTAAACCACCTGGAGAAGACAACAAATCTACAGCAATATTCAGCTGTGACAGTGCTGCTCTAAGAGCCATTTTGAACATAGACAACTAAGATTATTTTCAGAACAGTAACTTACCATAAAACTAAACAAAAAGCCAACCAGAAATTACCTAGAACTGAAAGAAGCATTGAGCTGAGTCAACGTCCTCTCTCTGGCCAGCTTAGGTCAGGCTGCATCTTCATTAGAGTTTGTATCAGGATGCTACATTTCAAAGCTTCTTACAAAGGGATGTCCTCATTGCAAGGCTGTTCCCTATGCTCAGCCCTTGCCCTTTTCCCAGTGTGCCTAGTATAAGGAAGTTCAGTTTTTAGAAATTACTTCATAGAGAACGATTACCTTACTTATGTATGCAACCATACATCAGGCTGCTCTTGTCTAGTCACAGACACATCTTCTAAAAACCCTACAGCCCACTATTATAAGCAGAATAACTCACATGAAGAACAAGAGATGTGAGGAGAGACCTTCTCCCAAGCTTTGTTTGTGAATAGGAATAGGGGAGTGCAGAAGGGATAAATAAACATAAAGCAGCTAACTGGAGAGCTCGAACATAGGATGCACCTTCGGGCTACACCAAGAGCTCTTCAAAACTGCTCAAGAAGTCAACAACTTGGTTTATCAAATCATGAGATGAGCCTCTCAGTCATAAGTGCCCCACTATTATAAAAACAACTCCGTGGCACTTCCCACTCAACATAGCATGATAAGAAGGCAGGGTTAACATGCATCTCTGATAATCTAAACAGACGTTGAGATTGCTGAAATGTTACCATTGCCTTGACCTGACCATTTTCTGCAGTAACATCAACAGGAAGGTGTGCTCACGCAATGTAATGCTATGCTAATCGAGTCTGGTTTGGAATAGAAACCCAGTTTATATTAACATTCTTCTAGAGCAGTCACTACCTAACACCAGTCTAGTGATATAGCTGGCAAATGTGGCAGCAGTTATTCCATACTGAGAACCAGCTCTGAGCCTGCAGGACCATAACAGCTGCATTAGTAAAGAAAACCCCAGAGGCTATGATTACAGCCAATTCATTAAACATCTTTCTGCAAACAGTCAATAGCACAAAGGACACAAGTACCACCAAAGGAGACATGCAAAGCTCTCAGCCATCATACCATTTAGAAACCTCTTCCATGTTCCAAAGAGTAGGGATTTCCCAGAGACAGAGAAACCACTGGGAAAGCATCAAAGAGCCATCTCCCTTTCTGGCTTAGACACACAGCTGCCAGATTCTATACCAACCTGATGTCTGGAAGTCTATCTGGATAGGGTTGGATAAGCCATTCACTGCTTCACGCCACATGCCACCACCACCTGGAGACCAGGCAGTCACCACACAGCGATACAGCCCAGCATCAGAAATTTGAGTCTGATACATCCTGTAGCGGAACTCATTCTCTTGGACCTTCTCCAGAACCACACCATCCACACGAGTCTGGTCTGTCCAGTCTTCCAGCCGCACTACTGAATCCTGGTTCAATGAGATTATGCGAGTGGTTCCATTGGGATTCGACTGATCCGTTAGTGGCTTCTCAGCTGTAATGAGGACAGAATAACGTGGCGTCTTGATGTTTTTCGAAGACACTTTGCATGTCATCTCAAAAGTGTGGCCTGCTACAAAGAACGGCTTCAATTTCACTGCCTCCACTGTAAGCGTGTAATCTGAAGAGGGAAGGAAATAAGCAGCAAGAGAGGGGTTAATAAGTAGGTGCAGATATTTCTGCAGCACCTTTCAATCTAGAAGATAAGCCAAGTACATTTTTTTGAACGACAAATCCCAGTACATTTATCTAAACACATATGGACATCCCAGAATGCTACTCAACAGCACACACACACACCAGTACACAACAGTTTGGGTGCAGATGCAAGAATTCAAATGAACACCAAATACTGAACAGGTGATGCAATACACAGGCCTTAGCATGACAGTACCTCCAGGACTTTTTTTTATTCAAGAGTAAAGGTATTAGTAAGACAAGACTCAGAGTCCCAGTTTTACATTGAATCTGGAAGAGCACCCTCAGAGACAGGGTACAAGGACACTGCTGAAGTACTCATGGCTAGTGACAAAAGCTGCCACTAACAGAATCAGCAGCACTCAGTGTATCTACTTTTATTTGCCTTGAAAATCCACCCTAACAGCAATCTAGACACATTCAGCTGAACTCCCAAGATCAGCTGAAATAGAATGACAAAAAATTAGTGCTAACACAAGAAGTCTACATCTGCAGCACCCCCATACAGACACCTCCATGTTGAAAGAGTTTGATATACCTCTGCCCCTACCTGTGTTCTTTTCCCTTGCTTCTCATGGTTCACCTGAGTACCAGCCTACCAGAAGTCTTGTTGTTTCCCAACAGCCCCATTGGGCATCAAGAATGCCAGCAACACTTACTGTTCAGTTTCCTTTTCTTTCTTCAACATTCTCCAAGTCTGCCAGCTCCTCAATCCCAAGAATCCCTTAATTACAGGGTTTGGGAAAATTATACATCTAGAAGCACAGCCCCAAGACACAAAAAATACAAACTCACAATAAGAAATTGAGAAAATGAGGAGTGACTGAAATTAGAACCAGATAAAAAAGAAAGGGAACTGCTAGTTTCCTGGCACTGCAATGACGAGACATCCCACACACTCAGGTTCTTCTTAAGGAAAGGGTGCTGGGGCAGAACACACAGCTTACAGCTACTTCCCAAAGGAGCAGTATTGCAAGAATTCAACCAGTCCAACTTGCTGGACTTAGTTTGCTGCAGCATATTCTCCCTTCCCCCCCTTATAAAAAACACATATAGACACATTAAAAAAAACCAAAACACAACACACAAACAAAAAACACGACACAGATCACCTTTATGCAAGGTGAAACTTCTCAGGAAAAGGGAAATAAGCAATGGTGAGATTGTTACACATTCCCTGAAACTGAACTAAATGCAGTATTATTTATGCCCTCCCCACAAGAGCAACAAGATACTTGTCAAGATTACATTTTGCAGTGTTTTGCCTTCGAGCAGCAGTTTTCACAATGAGTAAACACAGCCCACAAGATGAGAAACCCGGTATGACAACTTTAAATCAGTACTGTATAAAGCAGATCACAGTACAAAGCTATATAAAGAAACAGCAGGAGTGAGGAAGGCTGCACTGCTTCTAGTGGTCTAGCTGAGCACAGAATTACTTGATACTCCACACCAATCCTCCCAAGACTTCCACCCGCTAGGTGGGAACACAAGAGTTGCACATTTAGGCACTCAGGGTACAATCACAATTGAAGGTGCACACACAGAGTCATTCTCTAGTCCCTTGTGTGAGAACTCATTATGCATCTGATTCCAGACTTCAAATCCATTTTTTCCTCGTTCTGTGTCCGTAAGATTCTGATATCACCTTCTTCATAAGGTTGCAGCATTTAGGAGCCCAGCACAGACCTCATATTGCCACATATTTTAGGAACCTAGTAGCCAATCATATTTTTGTCTCAAAAGCAGAAGCACAAACAGCTACCCATACTTCTCTGTCACATTTTGCTGCTTTCTAGGCCTTGCGAGGGAGCTCTGGGCAAAAATCCCTCCTGATGCACACACTCTTTGTGCTATTGATCTTCATGTCAAAGCACCGGGTCCTAGACACCAAAAAAGAGATCCTGTATTTGGTCTCTCATACATGTACTTAAGACAAATACCTTCACATGATCAGAGAAGCTACAGATGTAGAGAGACAACTCTCTCTACTATGTGGGCTCCAAATGCCTCACTTCAACTATTCCCTGAGCCACAGGTCAGGCAGCAGTACACAGGGGAGTGTCTTGTCCCCAGTAAGGACAGAGCAAACTTTGTTCCTAGACATCCTTTCCTGACTTTCCGTTTGAGGGCAGCTGAAAATGCTGCTTCTACCACTTATTTTTGTCAATGAAAAGGAGACAGGAGTGATGGTAGCATAGGACATCATGTCATCTGTAGAGCTGGTGGAAGAGAACATCTGAATCCCAGAGATATAGCTGGAGAACAGCGGTAGAATTCAAAAGGGTTAGAAATCACGATGCTGCATATAGAACTGGGAGACATATTCTTATGAACATCCTTTCAAAGCATTTTTCTATCTTTTAAAAATCCCAAATTCCTTAGGTTGGATGAATACAGAAGGCAGAGGCACCTACTCTTATGTGAGGCTATAAGAAATGCAGACCAGAATAGACAAAGGGATGCAAAAACCAGCACATACAGGTGCTGAATGTTTCTTGGTGCAATAAAGCAAAAAAAAAAAAAATAAATCAAAGGAACATTTCTGGATCTGTAATAATATTAGACCCCTGCATATGTAGTAAAGTATAACAAACAAACAAAAAAAGCCCCATATCCTATCAACTAGAAATGCCTGGATTGCCATTCTTACCAGTACTGTTCTGTGCCAAAATTGTTCTCCTTCAGTAGCAGCAGATGAAATGTAATTAGCACTCCATCACCACCACCTAGAAAAGCATGTAGTTGTCTCTGCATGTAACAGTGCACATTATGGGATAGAGGAGAAACCAAAAATTTGGCACTTAGGTTAGAAATAATAGTAATCTGCAAGAGAAGTTAAGTGGGAAAGGAAAGTTTCTTCATGTTTCCTATGTTAACAGAAACTACTCATCAGATGTTATGCTATAAGACAGGTCAGAGAGGTCAAAGAAGATTTTCTTTCAAGAAATGCATCCTAAGATCTCATTTCTAATCTTCCAAGAATTGCCCAAGAGGCAATGTCGGTGTCTTGACCACTACCGTGCATGCTTGCCGCCCCACGCACACACCTGCAATCCCATGTAGAGTCTCACCTCCTTCTTGTAAAGCTCCATGAATGAAAAGCATGATAAAACACACCCTGGTCAGTCATATACAGGAGGCTGCAGTCAGCAGAGTTTATGTTGGAAAACAGTAGGGGGAAGAGATCCTAAGTAAACCATACCAAAAGCTTATAACCAGTTTGGGCGCTACTCCAAGACAGAGGGCTAGCAGCAGAAGAAATCTTAGCCAAACATTTCAGATAAATTTTGAGTAATAAACTGCATTTTGCAGCCTGACAATGCATGCCTCTGCCTTCCATCACTGGTCGCTCCAAGTGGTTAAGCCACACTATAATTCCCTTGCTCTCGACCACAAAGTGCATGCTCAGATTCAAGAGTACTTCCTGGGTAGTGACCAGAAAGATTTTTTCACCTAATCTAAGCAAGTCAAATTGCTACAGAAGCCTAACAGCTACAAGGGCAAGGAGACTTTAGGAAACAGCAAACGCCTTCCCTGCACTCCACTGACTCCGGTCTGAAAAGCAGCACAATGGCCATGGCTAACAGCAACCTCAGAGCCTAATGTCAGCAGCCTCAAGTAATGCCATCTCAATATTCATAAAGGCTTCTTCATCCCCCAGTGCACTAGCTAGATTGTAAGTACAGGGAATCCAACAGACATTAAGGTAATGACAGCTCTGCCTTCGTAGGAGAAGGAGACTATACAACACCCTGAGGTACAATTGTTGCCCCAGCAGCTCTGATAATTCAGCAGGCGTACGAAGGCCTGCACCACAGCCTGACACATGTATATACACAACACAATGGCTCTCCCCACTGCTGCACGCACACACACAGCTAGACCATCCTCATCAGCCTGCTCCCCTGCCAAGCAAAGAGCACAAACACTTCACCCTCAAGCAGAGATGGGCATGAGGAGCCCAGCCATCCATGACTGGCACTTGTACACTTAACACACTTTCTTGTTCCTATACCCAAACTGGCACGTACACCTGGCAGCTTAGTGCCATAGGTAGGGGAATTTCTTTGCTCAGGAGGAACTGCACATCTGTAGTATGCAGTGTCTATTATACACTAGCAATGGTAAAGACAAGTGGGTGGCAGAAATATCACCTGTTCTCTATTTGCAGGACTTCCTGAAAGATTAAGATGCCCTTGCTCCCAATTAAATGTGATGGGAGGGCCTGGGTAAGCATTTAGGACAAGTAAAATTATGTTAAATACAATTATTTTGCAAATTAAAGACAGAAGTATTAACAAAACCCCAAATCACACCTTTGGGATTTGGAATTTCAATTAAAAGATAATGTTCTCTTTCACAAAGAATTCCATGCAGATCCAACGTTGACAACACTGGTTTAGGAAACAAGCACCAATTCTGCATTCCACTGCAAACAGCAATTGTGTTTTAAATACAGGCAATACTCACATTCTAATTAATAAATAAAATTATCTTTTAAACTACCAAACTTTTTTCTGGGTTGAAAATCATGTACAGAGCCAGTCAAAAAAGGTTTCCTCCCTTAGAATCATAGAATCGTTTTGGTTGAAAGAGACCTTTAAGATCACCAAGTCCAACCGTTAACCTAGCACTGCCAAGTTACCACTAAACCATGTCCCTCAGCTCCACATCTACATGTTTTTTAAATACCTCCAGGGATGGCAGCTCAACCACTTCCCTTGGCAGCCTGTTCCCATGCACGACAACCCCTTCAGTAAAGAAATTTTTTCTAATATCCATCCTAAATCTCCCCTGGTGCAACTTGAGGTCTTCTCGTCCTATCACCTGTTACGTGGGAGAAGAGACTGACCCCCACCCCACTACAACCTCCTTTCAGATAGTTGGAGAGAGCAATAAGGTCTCCCCTCAGCCTCCTTT